GAGCCAAGGGTCCCACAGCCAGGGCCCAAGGCCAGCAGCAGCTGACCAGAGACGGGTCCTGTATGGCTACTCCAGCTCCACTATTGTTTGGAAGGTTTCCTGTGAATGCAATAAACTAACTTCAAATCTAACATCAAACTGTCAATTTCATATCTGATAATAATGCATTTTTACATACCAAGAATTTTTACTCTCAAAATAGTTACAAATGCTTAGTGGGTACATGGACTTTAATGTAAGTTTTTAAATAATACACTTTAAAATTTGTGATAAAGCCAGGCGCCGCTGGCTCACACCTGTAATCCTACCTACTCAGGAGGCTGAGATCTGAGGATCACGGTTCAAAGCCAGCCAGGGCAGGGAAATCCATGAGACTCTTATCTACAACAAACCACTAGAAAGCCAGAAGTGGTGCTATAGCTCAAACGGTAGAGTACTGGTCTTAAGCTGAAGAGGTGAGGGATAGTGCCCAGGCCCAGAGTTCAAGCCCCATGAACGACCAAAAAAACATTGTGATAACTCTCAAAAGCACTGAATCAGTGCATCTTCAATTCAAATAGGTTGCATTATCCCAAATATCAGTTCATCTAAATGCTGTAATAAAAGATGGGGCACTATTTCCTTAGGTAAGAACTGAAGCTGGAGGATGCAGACAAAGCAAGCAACTGCAACTTCACCACAAGTCTGCCAGGCCTGCACTCGCAAAGAGCCTGGCTGTGCAGTGCAGTGCCGAGCTCAGAGCTGCAGTGATCAGGCAGGCTGTGCAGTGCAGTGCTGAGCTCAGAGCTGCAGCGAGCAGGCTGTGCAGTGCAGTGCAGTGCTGAGCTCAGAGCTGCAGACAACAAGCCAGCTGTGCAATGCAGTGCTGAGCTCATTGCTGCAGTGAGCAGGCTGTGCAGTGCAGTGCTGAGCTCATTGCTGCAGTGAGCAGCCTGGCTGTGCAGTGCAGTGCTGAGCCCAGAGCTCCAGCGAGCAGGCTGTGCAGTGCAGTGCAGTGCTGAGCTCAGAGCTGCAGCGAGCAGGCTGTGCAGTGCAGTGCTAAGCCCAGAGCTGCAGTGAGCAGGCAGGCTGTGCAGTGCAGTGCAGTGCTGAGCTCATTGCTGCAGTGAGCAGGCAGGCTGTGCAGTGCAGTGCTGAGCTCATTGCTGCAGCGAGCAGGCAGGCTGTGCAGTGCAGTGCTGAGCTCATTGCTGCAGCGAGCAGGCAGGCTGTGCAGTGCAGTGCCGAGCTCAGAGCTGCAGCGAGCAGGCTGTGCAGTGCAGTGCTGAGCTCATTGCTGCAGCAAGCAGGCAGGCTGTGCAGTGCAGTGCTGAGCTCATTGCTGCAGTGAGCAGGCAGGCTGTGCAGTGCAGTGCTGAGCTCATTGCTGCAGTGAGCAGGCAGTGCAGTGCAGTGCTGAGCTCATTGCTGCAGTGAGCAGGCAGGCTGTGCAATGCAGTGCTGAGCTCATTGCTGCAGTGAGCAGGATGGCTGTGCAGTGCAGTGCTGAGCTCATTGCTGCAGTGAGCAGGCAGGCTGTGCAGTGCAGTGCCGAACTCATTGCTGCAGTGAGCAGGATGGCTGTGCAGTGCAGTGCAGAGCCCAGAGCTGCAGTGAGCAGTCAGGCGTGCAGTGCAGTGTAGTGCTGAGCTCATTGCTGTAGCGAGCAGGCTGTGCAGTGCAGTGCAGTGCCGAGCCCAGAGCTGCAGTGATCAGGCAGGCTGTGCAGTGCAGTGCTGAGCTCTGCCATGCTGCAGCGAGCAGGCTGTGCTGTGCAGTGCCGAGCTCAGAGCTGCAGTGAGCAGTCAGGTGTGCAGTGCAGTGTAGTGCTGCACCCCCAGCAGCATCCAGGATGTGTCCTGCTTTCAAGAGTGTAGTGTCTGTACTGAGGTCTACTGGATGGCTAGAGGGTAGGGTGAGGAGGAGAGACAGGGCTGAGGCAGCAGGGTGCCTTCCTTGTTGGCCTCAGAACACTCCATGGGGTAGCAGATTTCAGTATCAAATGCAGGGGTTCCCCAAAGAAGTTCCAAATGCACTGGTCTTTACAGAGCTCTTGGGAACTACAGAGCACCGGAATTGGGGGGGCTCGACCTGGAGCCTGTCCTGTGCCTTTACGGCCCCGAGTGCCAAGTCCTATGCTGTTAAATGCCAAGTCCTGGGGTTATCATTCAGAGGCAGTGCTTCAAGAGGCAGTGGAGGATGAGGACATTCAGTAGAAATCCACCCTTGCTGGTGTGCAAAGAGCATAAAGTGCAGACAAAGCCAGAAGCCTCGCCAGAAAGCATGCTTAGGTCCCCCTCACCCCCACAGCTCTGCAGTGGCCTAGGCCGGATGACACAGCCCCTTGTGTGCTCTGTCAAATCCAGGGCCGGTCCTGGACCGACTCAGAAGAGAAGAACCACGGCACGTTCAGCCTGGGCTGTGGACTCAGCGCCCGGAGCCTGAGTGAGGTGGTATGCTACTGCTTGGCTGCACAGGTGTCCCACCCAGAGGCACCGCTCCTGGCAGCCTGGCCAGCAGGCAAAATGCAGCACACTGCCCGAAGCAGGCCTGTCCAGGAACACACAGGCACACGCATTGTAAGGGTCACACCGTTAGCACCAACATGAGTCAGAGGAAGAGTGAGGTAAAACCTGAGTGGAAGCCAGGGCATCACAGGTTGGGCACCCTCAGCCCCAGTGTCTTCTTTCAGAGCCACACCAGCCCTCACAATTCTGCCCTCTCACTGGAGAAACACAAACTCTCCCCGACACCTCAGTTCTCCTGGGCAAACTCCCAAAGAAGCAGTGCTAAGGAATAATCAATGAATTCACTCTGCCTCTTCATCTCACTGACCAAAATTATCCTAAGTAATCAAAACAGCAGGAGACAGTAGGGATACATTTATCCTTCAAAACCCACCAGGTTTAATCTAGAAACAAGTACCAAGTTAATGTCAGTAACAAATAAACAAGTTAATGTCAGATACAGAATTTACAAAATAAGGAAAAAATAAAACAAGAAAATAAAAGTGGCCGCTCCCTGTGAAGGTGATCTGTTTTTTACTTATGGCTTACAAAAGCACATAGTATGTGGCCCACATCCTATGTTTAAGTGCACAGTTCAATGCATTAAATGTGTTCACATTACTGTAAAACCAGTGCCACCAGCCATCTGCAGAACGGTTTTCAATCTCTGATACCAAAAGCTGATCTCTTTACTCAAAAATTGTAGAAAGTATTGTATTGAATCATCAGAGCAAATGCTAATCACACTTGTGTTCCTAAGGACCTGTACAAGCCACCGAAAGGCAAGGGCAGTTGGCACCGCGTTTCCAAACAAGACTTCCTAACTACAGAGGCAGGCTGGACATGCTGGACCGAGCCCTATGGTAAATCTGAATTGCGAATGCAAACACACTACTTAGAGTTACAATTCTAACTACATACTGCTCCTTCCCCTTGACGGAATCCCTTCCTTTTCACACCCACAGCCTGAGTCTTGTAGCTTCAAGGTGCAATGTGCCATAGTCTACAGGTTATTTTAAGGGGTTACCAAGCCAAGGTCTCCAAGAGTCAATTTCAGTGGAGGGAGCCTCCTGGAGCCTGGGTCTGGCAGCCTAGATTCTTGGGGTACCAGTATCTTCCAAATTAACTTGAAGCTTCGCACATAACAAACCGTCTCAGACACAGCGGTGTGGTGCTTACAAGCCCCCTGGGGCCCTCAGGCAGGGCTGCATCACTGTTCCTGACACTTCTCAGAACCTGCCCTCTTGGTGAGCCTGGCCAGTGACTCCTTCTTCAACTGCATTAGACTCAGGATTAGCATCAGGGACTGTTGGCAGCACCCTTTGTTTCTGCACGTGTGATGTGCTTGTGTGTGTGCATGGCTAACCAAGACTTTGAGAAAATAAACAGGTTCAAGAACATCACCCATGTTGTAAATGTGCTTCTTCATTTGCAGGAAATAAGCTTTGCTTTGTAGCTGAGATGGATGGGTTCCATGGGTAGGGATGGAACATGAACCATGAGAGGGACTTTTTGAAAATAACTCTACACCCGCCATGCACTGTGTCTTTTATACTACTCATGCTTTACACTGAAATGCATGTGAGCGGACCTGCAGTGACCTTCAGCGACCACTCTGCCCAGCTGCTGGGTCACAGGGCTGTGTTACAAGTGATCTCAAAGAGTCCATCAACATCAATTTGTTTAGCTAGAAAGCAAATGAAGAAATGCCAACTAACCTCTGTTTCATACCCCACAGAAATCTCCTGCAATACATACTCGAATCTGACAGGACACAACTGACTCCAGGAGCAAGGAAGATGTAACGGGCCCTTTACAGGAGACACGCCACGCTTTCTATCTCCTCCTCAGAGGTTTCTGCCGTTGGTGAAAACACATTAGCACCTCCACACGGGGAGTAACTGAAATACAGACCGGTGACACAATGCACCACGCCTTCTGTCATCCTAATCATCATCACAACCGACACGAGCGACCCCTGAAGGTCTTCCTTTCCTCCATCCCACTTCCTGAGGGAAAACACAGTACATCGTAACCTGCAGCCACCCCATCTTCTCACAGGAGAACCCAGGCCCCACTGACACCAGAGACTGTGGGTCCAGACAGCACCTCTCCTGATGGACGGGAAAGGCTGAGTCACCTATGGAGACCAAACATACCCCACACTGGCCACCAGTGGGACTGTGTGCAGCAAGCAATATAACAAGTGAATGAAACAACGTTGAAATGAGTTATCCAGCTTTATCATGCACACAACTTCCCTTGAAAGTCCAGGACAACCATCACCTAAATCTGTTTCCTTCATCAATAAAAGCAGACCTCTGAACGCAGCTGTAACTCACTGCATAATCCAACAGTCCAGCTTTTCTTGGCTTCTTCCAATTAACATGCAAACTAGAACTAAAAACATCAACAAAGAGCAAACTATAAAATATCTAACTCAGGCATCCCATGTCTGAACTTTGTACCAATACACAACTTGACATTTCAAACCAAAGAAAGCAGGTACTTTACCTGTGTTCCTGTCTGGCAGGATGCAGCAGTGCTTCTGCAGGATGCCGGGCAGAACCTGTTTCAAAACAGATAAATAAAGCGCACTTGGTTATTATGCAGAGGGAGGTATCTCATTAACTGATGCAAAGATTCTTCTAATAAGGTACAAAGTCATCACACCCAGGACAGGCCAACAAACTAAACAATATGGACACAGGTGGCGATACACAGTTTTCATCAAAAAGGTTAATCAGGTGAGTGTGCGGCATGTGTGGCTCCTGAGACAGGCTGCCATGGGTGCTCACTCCCCCAGGGCCCTGGGAGATCTAGAAGGCCACACCCAGGGGCCACTGCAGGCAGGCAAACGGGCCCACCGATTTTCATGAGAACTTTTAAAACGGCACATGCGATTAGAGCCTGAACACGGAGCGTTACACCCGCTGTTCCTCAGGGCACCCCTCAGGGAGGAGACACCTGAGGAAGGCTGCTCCGACGTGGAAGGCGGCACCTTGCGTGACTAGCGAGGACCAAGGGAAAATGAGAGCAGATAGATTTTCAAGAAAATTCCTCAGTGGAAAGCAACTGAGGAGCTCGGGCTAGGAGCTAATCTCCCGCTGATTGAGTCTGAGGGTGACTTCATGCCCTGCCTCCTGAGCCGGGTAGAGAAACGTGAACCCTCCTCACTCGCACACACCCACGTGCACCAGTGCCACCCCCTCCACTCCCTGTGGCTGCCGACAAAGCTCACAGGCCGGAAGCCAGACCCAATCACCAGGGCCCAGGGCCCCGGAACCACCCGGCTGGACACACAGCCAGACCCAATCACCAGGGCCCCAGAACCGCCCGGCTGGACTCACAGCCAGACCCAATCACCAGGGCCCCAGAACCGCCCGGCTGGACTCACAGCCAGACCCAGTCACCAGGGCCCAGGGCCCCAGAACCGCCCCGCCCGGCTGGACTCACAACCAGACCCAGTCACCAGGGCCCCAGAACCACCCGGCTGGACTCACAGCCAGACCCAGTCACCAGGGCCCAGGGCCCCTCAGGTACCACAAAGGAAAGCACGCTTCCCTCTTAACCACACCTCCCTCTTCCATCTCCCTCCAGTTATCCTGCATTGAGGGAAGAATAGATCTCTCCTAAGTTCAACCCATCACAAGCAAGACAGACTGGTGACCTTTGACTCTGAACCTCTCAGGGACACAAAAAAGAAAGCAATGAGCAAATCAGTATTTGATAAATACCATGAAAAAATGTGTGATTAAGGCTTTGAAATCTTCCTCACTCACACCAGCTGACTGCTTGAGCGAACACTGCTGAGACCATTGCTCACAAAGTGCTAAGAGCAGGACACCCACCATCAGTAGACAGCATGGCTGTTCTTCACCAGCCAGGACGTTCCTGTCTCTCTTCCCCCCCACAGCAATGCCCGTGCCCACCCACACGGCGGGCAGACTCCAGTGTCCAGTGCATCCAAAACCGTGCACCCTCCTGGCCTGCTTGGAAAATGAAACTGCATTTCCACTAAAATCTCCTACCAAACCCACAAAACCCACAAAGTCCAGAGAGAAAAGTGCTGGCCAGCTCAGATCCCTTGTAACTGGACCCGGATCCATGCCCAGGACAGCAGGGGACATGGTTGCTGGGATAAGGCTCTCTTAGAGGAGGCCCACAGAACATGGCCACAGTGGGATTCTGTGTCCTTTCCCATTTCCCCTAGCACTGGTCCTGAGCCCCAGTGTAACAGTGGACCACCCACAAGTCCCTCTCAAGGACAGCCCTGATGTACAGAGCTGTTACTGCATGACCCCACCAAAACATGAGCCAATTTCATCCAGGGGAATGTCGAGTGGGAAAGGCTTGCACGGCTTTGGAGAAGGGAGGAACAGAGTGTCCCTGTGGACACAGCAGCCACAGGTGAGCACCACCAGCAGCCAGCTCATCCCTGTAACCCTAGCTACTCAGAAGACTGAGACCTGAAGGCTGTAGTTCAAAGCCAGTCCTAGAAGAAAAGTCTGAAACACTCCACCTCCAAATGGCCAGCAAAATTGACACACTGAAAATCTGGCTCAAGTGGTAGAGTTTCAGTTTTGAGCATAAAAGTGAGTGAAAGTATTAGGTCCAGAGTAGGAAGAAGATAAGGAATAAGGGAGGGAGGAAGACAGGGAGGGAAGAAGGGAGCAAGGACGAAAGAAGGAAAGAAGGAAGGAAGGGAGGGAGGGAGGAGGGACAAGAGAACATAGGAAAAAATACAAATCAAGAAATATTATTCACATGCAAAACTTATATAAAAAGTTAACAAGGATGGAACACTTACCACTGAATAGAATAATTTCAGCATTAACAAGGAAAAGAAGCTGGCACCTGTGGCTCAGGTGGTGATACTACAGGAGGATACGATCTGAGGATCGCAGATTGAAGCCAGCCTGAGCAAGAAGTCTGTGAGACTTCTCTCCAATGAATCACAGGAAAACCCAAGGTAGCAGTGGTGCTGTGGCTCAAGTAGTAGAGGGCCTTCCCTGAGTAAAAGGAGCCAGGGACACAGGGGCCAGAGAGCCGGGCTTGACCGCGATGGAGATCACAATGCTGCACCCTGCAAAGCTGGCTTCCTCCCCCAGTGGGGCACCCCTGCAGGGTCCCCACAGATGTGCCCTCCCCTGGACCCATGTCCTGGAGCCACATCCCCAAGGGAGGATCCGCCCAGAGCTGTGGATATCAGGAGTAATTTCCAGACACAGGTCCTGAGGACCAGCCATTCCTGCTCCAGGGCCAGCTCACTGGGTGCAGGGCCTGGACGATGGACGATGATGCTGGTGATGTCTAGTCCAGCTGCCAGCTCCCCCAGAGCACCCCAGGCTGCTGGCAAGGGGCACAACTACCCATGCAACCCCAGGTGCTTTGACAGGCCCATCAGCATCACATCCTCCTGCCAGGACAACAAATCTTCAAATACCCAAAGTAGCATTTTATTCTACCCCCAACAGGAAGCCAAAAGAAACCAAAAGAAGTCATAAACAGTCCATGGTGGAATTTGTCTTGCCTTTCCTAAAGACAGACAATTGGCTTCAAAAATGGTGCTCATATCTAATCTTGACAATTTCCTTCCAGCCATGGACCTGGGAAGACACCTGCGCTAAATCTTGAATGGAGCTGCAGCCTGTGCAAATGCTACGCACACATCACTGCCCGCGGGGGCTCTGGCTGAAGGGGAGCCAGGCAGCAGTAATGGGTTTATTCTTCCTCTCTGAAGGATTTACAGAAGGCCGCAGAGGAGAATGAAATTACCCTTCCTGCCCAAAGGCACTTTTAAAAGTTCAATTCCACTCAACCTGCCTATTCTATGAGAGCGTTTAACTGCTGGGGATAATTGGAGACATTGTGCTCTGCTTGCCAGGAGCAGCCGTGTGACACAGAACGCACTCAAAGGTCTCCAGAGTCCTCAGCAGCCGCCCAACACTGGGAGCTCAGGCATCCTCGCACTCAGGGCCAGGTCTAAGGGCCTCTGTGTGACACAAGCCCAGATGATTCTAACTGCGGATCTGTCCCCAAAGCAGACTTCAAAGTCTCCCTCCGCGATAACCCCTCCTCCCTGCAGGTGCCAGTCTGCGTGGGGTAAACAGTGGGATCAAAGAGGCTGGAATTCAGTCCAGAGGCTGGCTTCTGCCACTTCTCCATGACAGCCAGCGGTGGGCCCTGGCTGCACACACGTGAGAAAATCAACCAGAGTTCTGGGCCGGAGGTGCCTGCAGCCTTGCCTCACTCCAGCCAGAGCGCCTGCTGGGGCCCTGTCTCCACACCAAGGGCATTCTGGGAGTGGAGGCCGGGCCTAGCATAACTCTGGGTACACAAGCATAACGTGGTAAAATGTAAGAGTCCAGAGTTCAAGCCAGGAAGTGGCAGTGTCATTCCTAACTGCCTTCAATGAGCCACTGGTTCTCCGGACCTCAGCCCAGTCCTCCACACACAGGACGGATGAGCAACCTGCTGACGGAAAGGAGGAGGCGGGAATCGCGGCAGACCGTGGCCCGTCAGTCGGGGCTGCAGTGAAACCCTTTGTACAACTAATCTATGCTAGCAAAATGGTGAAACAACATTTAAAAATGTGTGGAGTTGTTCATACATGCTCCCTGTAACAACTGATGGATGGCTAGCACCCACCAGCCACCACCACTGACCCAAACCGCAACGACACACAGTAACCAAACTCCAGCTCTGCGGCACTTGTCCACACGCACCGCGTGGATAGCAAGGCCTGCTCAGGATCTTCCTCGGGGCGTCCATCCATCATCTGCACGTCTGTCCATCATCCTCACGTCTGTCCATCATCCTCACGTCCGTCCATCATCCTCACATCTGTCCATCATCCTCACATCCGTCCATCATCCTCACATCCGTCCATCATCCTCACGACTACGCCTGTCCATCATCCTCACACCTGTCCATCATCTTCACGTCTGTCCATCATCCTCACATCCATCCATCATCCTCACATCTGTCCATCATCCTCACGTCTGTCCATCATCCTCACGTCTGTCCATCATCCTCACATCCGTCCATCATCCTCATGACTACGCCTGTCCATCATCCTCACACCTGTCCATCATCTTCACGTCTGTCCATCATCCTCACATCCATCCATCATCCTCACATCTGTCCATCATCCTCACATCCATCTATCATCCTCACGCTTGTCCATCATCCCTCATCCTCATGTCCGTCCATCATCCTCACATCCGTCCATCATCCTCACATCATCCATCATCCTCACATCATCCATCATCCTCACGTCTGTCCATCATCCTCACATCCATCCATCATCCTCACATCTGTCCATCATCCTCACATCCGTCCATTATCCTCACGTCTGTCCATCATCCTCACATCCGTCCATCATCCTCACGACTACGCCTGTCCATCATCCTCACACCTGTCCATCATCTTCACGTCCGTCCATCATCCTCACATCCATCCATCATCCTTACATCTGTCCATCATCCTCACATCCATCCATCATCCTCACATCCATCCATCATCCTCACATCTGTCCATCATCCTCACGTCTGTCCATCATCCTCACGACCATCCATCATCCTCACGTCCATCA